ACAACAGCAAATGATATAAGGGGACAGATACTGAGGTTTCAGATTGAAGTGGTGTCCATCAGGGTGCCCTGCCTGGCCTCCTCCATCACAGAACATAGCATGTGAGACTGCACATTCTTCTCCTTGGGCACCTAATACACAAATTTCTCCTGCAGCTCCAAGGAGCCCTTATCCACAGTGGATACTGCTCCCCTTTGCATTTGGCTGTTGAAGTTGACATCCCAGTGGTGGAGTAACTGTTGGGGTAGTTGAAATGGAACAGTGAGAACCATTTTATCTCATTGTTCTTGCTGTCTGACAAATCCATGAATTTGCTCTGACAATCAAAATCAAAACCAAACAAATAAACAGAAAAAAAAAAAAAAAACAGTTGCTGTCATCTTTTGCATTCTGCCTCAGGTAAGCCCCATGTGTAGCAAAGTAGTTTGTTTCATAAAGTCTTCACGGCTGTGACCTTTAGGAAGCAGATTGCCAAGTCTTTCTTCTGAGGCACCACTGGTGTGTTCAAACAGTCAACATTTCAGTTAGCAGCCCAGCTTTTACCTTTTGCCCCACTCATAGACTCGTGCTATCACAGCTGTTGTTGTTATGTGCCATTGAGTAGGACCTGACTCATAGCGACCCCTCTTTGGGTTTCCAAGGTGGTATCACTATGGAAGTAGATTGCCCAACCTTCCTTCCAAGGAGTGGCTGGTGGGTTTGAACTGCCAGCCTTCTGGTTAGCAGTCAAGTGCCTTAGGCACTGTGCCACCAGAGCTCCTGCTATCACAGCAGAACCCCTTTATTCTTAACCCCTTAAGAGATCTGTTTTCTATGCTACAATCTGCCAGAACAATCAAACTGAAACTACAACTGTACCAGTCCAATCCTGATTGTCCCAGGGTCAGTACTTCAATCTATAATCCACTCCATACTGGCTACTATGCAGTGGTTGGAAAACTCTATTTCAATCTTTATTCACAAAAAAAGGAAGAATGAGAAGTTGTATAGAAGTGCCTAACATGCTTTTCCAGTCAGCCTTGGTGTTATGTCAAATCAAGGATCTTATATCATTTCAGTGCCTTCAGGTAGATGATGGAATGAACTTATTGATAAATAGCAACAAAATAACAGATTTCTGAGATGTCTAACATCATGTTTTTTTCTGAAAATTTAAACCTTGGCGTATTGCCTATTTAAGTTAATGTTATTTAGTCTACTTAAAACAAAAGTGTAATTCATATAATTAAACTTTTATCCAATAGCATAGTATATGTCCGAACAAATGGCATTGAATGTAGTAAAAGTTTTCCAATTTAACTTGTGATTATGGAATAACTATGACATAATGAAAGAATAAGAAAAATGTTTATTACAATAAACTCTAAGAAATCCACTAATTTACACATACAAAACTTACAAACAATTAATAGTTAAAAATAAGTTTATACTCACTGCCATCAAGTCAATTCTGACTCATAGCAACCCTCATTAAGTTTCCAAGGTTGTAAACCTTTATGGAAGCAGATTGCCCCATCTTTCTTCCATGGAGCAGCTGGTGGGCTTGAGCCACCAACCTTTGTATTAGCAGTCAAATATCTTAACCACTACACCATCAGAGCTTGTAGGCTCTAAAATTATTTTATATCTGGTTTTCTAGTTATGTAAATTTTAAAACATTAGGTTTTAATTTAAACAATTTTAGTTACAAATACTATAAACTGTAATTTTAATTAAAAAAATAGATTAAATTTGTCATATGTGCCAAGAATACAGATCAACCAGTAGAATAAGTCTGGGAATTTCACAGAACTGAGTTGGGCTGTTTGCTGACTCACACTGCACCTGAGAGTGCTCGTGATTACCCTATTGTACTCAGGCCACAAGATGTCTGCTAGTGTCTGACATTCAGTTTTTCATTTCTATTTTCCATATTTTAGTTTTTTTGTTAAGTATCAAGGATTTATAGATATGGACTTACGAACTTTACATCTTAATTAAAATAAGTGAACTTTCAAAAACAAGTATTTTAGAGAAAATATCAAACCAAACAATTTTAAACTTTCTATTTAATGAGACACTTTAATGCTAAAGAATAGTAGAAGCAGATAGGAAGCATGCAGATTCTGCTTGGGGAATAAAATTTTAAACAAAATTATGACCATGAAATAAGTATTAAGCAAATATAAATACCTGATGTTTTGTTCTCATAGCATCATTTTAATCATATTCTAACGCTATTCTTATAAAGCAATGTTTTCAACCTTTTGGTAAACATCAACAAAACAGAGACACTTAATTAGGTCTCCTGATAGAAATGTGTCCTCTGAGGGTCATGTTACCCTAAACTCTTGGAAAATACTTATGAACAGTTTATCTTCTATATAATGTACAAAACAAGAAGATTTTGTAGAGTCATATTCTATTGTTTTTGCTATGAATAACTTTTTTTTCTGTTTCCAAATGTGAAATAACAGGAGTCTTGGCCCCAAACTCCTTAGTCTTATGACTAAAGAGTAATTAATATTTTAGTTATATATAATATCTTAATTATATATACCAAACAAACTCACTACCATCAAGTAGATTCTGACTCAAAGGGACTCCTCCTTGGCTTTCCAAGGTGGTATCTCTATGGAAGTAGATTGCCCAACCTTCCTTCCCAGGAGTGGCTGGTGGGTTTGAACAGCCAGCCTTCTGGTTAGCAGTTAAATGCCTTAGGCACTACTCCACCAGAGCTCCTTTAGTTATA